CTCACAGAAAACAGGTGTTGAGCAATACTTACGTTGCTTTTAAACAAATGAAACATTGTAATCACACAATAAGCTATGTAATCATCATAAGTGAATGATACTAAGTCCTAACTTTGTTATTTTTTATGTAAATTATTACAAAAAAGGAGATATAAATCCAACATCTGTATCTCACCAGTGCCACTGCTGGTCCAAACACGTCACGCTATAAAGTGAATGTAAAATGACCTTGTCGGGCACGATCAGCCGTGTTGCGTTGTTATCCATTTTGTAACTGAGCTATACGCGAAATTTAATGAACTTATTGTACATGAGTAGCTTAGACATTGAGTAATACTAGGAAAACATCTCGAAGCAAATGATCCTAAAAATTGACTTTTAGTTGAAATTTTTTAATTAGTGAACTTTGAATTTCGAGAGAAGAATATCGTATAGAATAACACGAATAGAGAAAAAAAGAGAAGTTGGTAAAGCGATCATGCAAACAATTTTTTTTTATAACAAACTAAAAGAATACCAGTTGAATCAATATTGATTGAATATTTAGAATAAGAATGAGGCTCGTCTTTGGTTTTACGTAGATAAGGTACTTACTTAAAGTTTATGCTGTGGTAAGCAGTATTTTTATTGCACGTTGCTCTGTAGTTCAACTAGTATGTGAGACATAATTTGCAATGGCATTTAATCTACTTATACTGAGTGTATTGCGTTGGTTTTAGCATCGAATTTGGATTTTGCAAATACATTCGCAAACGTGGTCATATTTTTATTTCTGTATCAAAATGTTGCATCTTGTTTTGTTTGTTTTAGAAATCAATGTCTTGGATTAATTATTTTGATTCCATTCCTATGAATCTCATGGCTTTTCCCAATTTTATCTCAGATCAGCGCAATATGCAACATTGTTAATGGTTTTAGCTGGTTTCTTTGTTAGCTAGTCATCTGTTGGATGCCATTCCTACTTGATGTGTTTTGAGACGGGTCAAACGGGATTATTGGAGACGCCACTACGACAGGAAATTGCCCGTCCGTAATTTTCATAAATCTATTTTTGTTGTAAATGTAACATATTTTGATATTAATCGTGAGTACCTCAATCGATGCATGCCTTTTTTATTGACAGACGTAATCTTGAGGTTTGTCAACTGCAAAGAATTGAGTAATACATATCGTTATTATTACGTTATTATCATAAACCAGCTATTAACCTTATGCAGTTTATTAATAGGTACTAATAATGTTACAAGTCCAACAGATAAAATTACATAACTAGTAAATTGACACTTAAGTCTTTCGCCTTGAAGGTCGGATCATTCATCATGCTTCACACGCATGCTCAATCCACGTTCCACCAGTGATAAGTAGTTTACATGCAAACATCAGGATGTCGGTTTGTCTGTTAGCATATGCTGTATTATGTTAATTTATTGTATTATATTTGTATATTAATCGTGATTGTTGCTTTACGGAGCGTTTTTTAGTTCAACGTTCTAGAATTTGCAATGATGTTTTTTTTTTCTTGTATCTTGATCATTTGGTTGATAACAATACTTTATACACTGATATGTGTAGAAATAAACAGTGAGACCATTTGATTTCGGAATTATCATCAAAATAATACTTTTTGTACCCCAAGAAACGATTATGGGTCTAGTGACTGGAAAGCGAAAAGCTGTTTTTTAAACTACAAGGTTTTTTTAACACCATCATCATCAACGGTCTCTAATGGTCCACTGCTAGACATAGACCTCTTGTTAGAAAGGAGGTTTTGGCCTACTAAACCACGCTGGCCAGGTTTTTTGACATTAATCTTAACTTTGTTTTTAAATTAAAATTATACCAAACGCTATGTCACAACACCGTGCAAGGTCTAAGCGTTGTTTTAATGGTTAAAAAATATGTTAATATACTTTATTTATATGATGATAAAAACTAGAACTTGGTTTTATTCTAATGTAAAAGTAGACTGTCGATATTGAGAATAGGAAAGATCCATTATTATTCTATTTGAAATAGCACATTAAATTATGTGTGGGTCTTTTGGTTTATAACTTAACATACATTTCTGAATTATCGTGGCAAAGTTAAATTATTGGAAGACATGGTTACTATATGTTTCCTTCCTATTATACCTATTTAGTAACTTGTAAACTATGGGAATATAATGAACTTCTCGTACTCCCCGACCTGACCCGACCGTTTGTATGTGACACAGGCGGGAATATAGGTAATTCCATTTATCTATTATTTCATATGACTTGTTGGTAAATCTCCAGTATTGCAAAGGTGCAAAGAGACCAGCATATTTCAACCGTCCACATTGCACACCGAGGTGTTTCAAAACACAGTTATAAGTACGACCTCCAGTCAAAGCTAAGCTATCAAAAAAGAAAGCGTAGCATTCGTTTTTCTTAATATTAATAATATATAATTGCTTATGTAGTCTTATTAGTCTTGTTTACACCTACAGAGATTGTTAATATATATGATATAATTAGATTTACGTCGGCAGTATACTGAGGGGCATTGAAACTTGTGGTCATATTTCTTTCAAACTGAATATATTGAAGGTAAATCACATCATCACATCAACAGCCTTTAATAGTCCACTGCTGTACATAGGCGTCTCCTTAGAAAGGAGTTTTTGGCCTACTATACCACGCTGGCCAGACGGGTTGGTATAGGGTTTGTGTCAAGTTTTCCTCCTCTCTGCAGTGCTGTTGTTCTGAGTAGTTTTCTCCCTTAGTCGGCTCTTACGACAAACACGGGATGAATAGGGGTGGTGATACTCTGTATTCTTAATCCGTCACCGCACGGACGGGAGAGCCATGCTTCGGCATATATGGGCCGTAAATACGTATATACGTGAGATATATAATCTTTTGAATCCATTAATATATTATTTATATAAGTGCATAAGTAATAATTTTCGAATAAAATAATATGGTAATAAGTTGTCAGTCCAGTTTCCGCGTTAGCATAACATTGCGGTACAAACTTGTGTGATGGAAAATACGCATAATTCAAAGATGTTGTTTTACTAACGTGTGTATTTCGGTAATGTCCGAAGGAGGCTTTTTTTTAAGAAGTTAAGCGCCCTGTCCTGTCTATTTTATGTATTAGGTACTTAATAGTTTTGAATGTCACATAACAATGCTCAGACAACGGACACAAAGAATATCCATACTTGGTAATTAGAGGTACATTTCCGAGTAGAATCCAAAGCGTTAATATTATTAGATGACTAGTTCAACCATTGCGAAATCCATTTCGTCAATTGTACTATAACAAAGTATTATTTACAGGCCATTGCTAACTCGCCGCTACATTATTCACGTGTTCATTTAATAAGTTAGTTGTTAGCGTCTCTGCTTTACCGCAACACTTGATATTTAAGGTAAACGTACTTCACGTGCTTACATAACTAGAACAGCTGCAGATTTTTTAAAATATTAATTTCTATGTATTTATGATTTTGTTTATTTAGCTATTGTAGTTTAGCAATATCGTACAAAAACTTTTACCTAATTTACAATCTATACCTTTCATAGATTACACTAGATATTTTTTTTTATTCAAAGACGAAGAAACGTTATTTTGAATGTTTGAAAACAACTCCGATAACACAATACTAACTGACAAAAAAATTATGTTTGTTAAAACAAAAAATCAAGTAATTTTGGTCGTAGTGAGATATTTATAAATCTGGTATGTTATTAAAGTTTTTAACCTCACGCGTGTTTATATTTATAGAAGCCGATACAAAGGCCAACCTTTATATTACAAGTGCAGCTCCCAATGGTAAACCGGATTATTCACACTACGCAACAGTTCAACGACTGTTATAAACGGCCTCAAATCGAAGTTCGATTCTCAGTTCAAGTGAGGAAGCGAATTGAACCCATATTATCTTGTTATGAGATAAGTTCTTAAGCCTTTTCGTATTTGTGTCATGGCTGGTGGGTTTTAATATCAGTAAAGTTACCTTTTAAGTGTGGTAACTTTTTAAACAGGTTTAAAAACAGCTGGTTTTAAGTTACGATTTCATAGATTTTGTACTCAATGTACACAACATTGGGTACAAAATCTATGAAACCGTACCTTAACTTAACTTGTCAGTGAAACATAAATATACATATCTAAATATAATTTGTTATTATTAGGACAGTATATATAAAAGTTATCACTATGTGGTCATTGCCATTTTCAGAAGTAATTCAAAGTAAATCGATTAAAAAGCTTTCTTTGTAAAATATGTTTACCTAAATTATATATTATTAAGTATTCAAATGCTTTGCTTCACTATTTTTTTCCACCAACAAATCCTCAACGTCAAATAATTTTATTCGAGACTTATCTCTCTGTTAAGAAATGATTAGATTATCAGTTGATTTCCAAATTCAATTTGTCAGAAAAGGAAAGGAAGAACAAAAAAACCTATTTTTAAATTATCTTTGTTTGTTTTCCAAATGAGATAAAATAATTATTTTTAAATATCAATATATTTCTATACAAATAAATAAAATTGAAGTATTTGTTTGTAATGTCAAAATAATAGGTTTTTTTTTCATGCTCACACGGTTATTTGCATGATGCTTACGCCTAAAAACCAGATTAAATATTTTCTGTCTGTCTATCTGTCTGTTTGTTCAAATCAATTATTTTATCCACGATTTGTTTGAAACACTTTCTTGAGCAAATCATTTAAATAAAACAGTAAGTAGAAAAATAATAAAAAAAAAAGAAAAAATATATATATTTTTGGACAGCATTTTTTTATTCGAAAATGCAAAAAAACATCATACTTATTTTAAAGCGTATAGTACCGTTACCATATTTCATTCTGTTTTATGTATTATATATGAAAACTCAATTACATACAAACTGAATGAGCTGGGAATCGAATCAACCACCTCCAAATTGTATTTGATGGAATTAATGTATCCAATTGTATACTATAATAAAAAAGAAAAGGATCTAACAAGTATTCTTCTTTACAGTTCCACTCCGTTACGGAGAAGAGATCGCACAACAACGACTGCGGAGAAAATAGTGTCACAATAGTCACAGAAAAGAAAATTGAAGATGATTCCTCGGACTCGTCAAGTTCAGAGAACGTAGAAATAGAAGGTATGTCTGTTTTAAAAGCTTAGAATAGATGTATATAGCTTGCGTCGTCCACATTAAGTGAATGGTTGTGTAACAGAATGGTAATGTACAAGTAGGTGACCATTTCGTTTAATCTTCTATAATTGAAATACACTTCATCTGCTTGATAAAAGTTGAATAATTTCAAAGATCTTTATTTCATTACTATTTCATTAAGAAATGAATTTAAGAATATACAAAAAAACTTTGTCATTTTTAGAAATCCTCTAGACTAGACATTTCATGTAATTTTTGTTGTAATACTTTTAGAAAATAGAAATTCGAGAACCTCAGATAGAAGTACGTGGTGTCTACATTTTCCTTTTAGTCATGCTAAATTATGGTAACATTGTGTAACGTTATTACCTTATACAGTAACAATACATCAGAAACGGCTCTGTACATTTTGTTAAGTGAATCATTCCGTTACTTCTGCTTAACATTCGACTAAATAAATATAGTATGGATGATAATGGATGGATACTTCGTAACCTTACTTTTCTGTTACAAAATCTATATCTATAAAAGAAGAAACTGACAGACTGAATCACTGACTGATCAATCAAAGCACAGCTGAAACCACGCTGGGTCTTGAAGTCCGAAATTTTGCACAAATGTTCCTTTGATGACGTAGGTGTGCACTAGACTATGGTACCCGAGACGGCGTGCGGTTTTTGGTCGGTTTGTCAGTTATATCAGACTCGAACCGACCAAAAACCGGTGGTATAGTAGGGGATTTCGGCACAGAAAAAAAAGGTGTGCACTAAAAAGGATTTTTAAAATTTCCACCCCTAAAGGTGCAAAGTGGGAGTTTGAAATTTATATGTAATTACGTTTTTTTGGTAGTAGCGTTTTCAAACTCACAGTAAATACTCTTTATTGTAATGTGATGTCATACATTGCATCCGTGCGAAGCTGAGTCTTGTCGCTAGTATAATATATCATATTATCTGCGAGCTATACGTGGCCATAACACAGCGCTATATAAACCCAAATTATATCAAACTGAGTCTCAGATTGATCTATTTATATACGTTTTAGTTTGTTTTGCTGTTACGGTATACATCAAAAGTTCAATAAGAAATACATTAATGAAAAAATAAGCATTACAAGATTTAGTTTTCTTACTGTCAAAGTATACTAGATAGAAATCGTACCTTTTTACCTAAATTTTAATTAGATCGCATTGGCAGTTCAAGAACCACCTCTTGCCAAACACACGCAGTATTAACTCACGAAATTTCGATCAGGTTGCACGGCCGTGGTCACAGGCTGATCCGTTACGTCATCTAATTCTAAAAGTACTTACTTACTTATTATGTTTATAACGTGATCGTGTTAACTACCACACATATTTTACATAATTAACTTAACACTTCAGTCAAATTCGAATAGGATATCCCATAATCTTTAACTTTGAATTTGCCGTAACATTACAACATTAAACATCACATTATTTTGAACATTATTTTAAAACTATTAATTTATTGAGCTGAAAAGAAATCCAATCAGGATGCAATAACATATTTCTTTTGTATCGAGACTTTACAAAATTATCGTGCTGGTATTAAAATAAACGTTATGGGCAATCATTCGCAGTACCATCAATTCCATTAATAATTAATGGAATTGATAGTATTGCGAATATTACTATCAATTTCATTATTAATTTCGTTTTTAATATTAAAAACGAAACGTTGCCATGCTTTAAACCCATATATTTTCATTTGAGAAAAGACAATAAAAACAAAATAGTTATGGTCATTGTTTCTTTTAGTTAACAACGTAAAAATATTCTATTGTTCTTATGAAACGCAGTTTTCTTTGTTATTCATATTTATCAATACTTCTAATTATTTTGATAAGATAACATAATTAATATTTAATAAAATCTTTTATTATAAAAGGTGGAGTTGTGCTTTTTTGTTGTAGTATTTTTGCATTAATACCAGAGATCGATGATCCGTAATATTTTGTTTTATTTACTAGTATAACTAGAACTGTCATCAATTAGACTTTACTTACCACTATAGATATAAAAAATAAAAAACCAGTCAGGTACGAGTCGAACTCGTGCGCTGAGGGTTTCGTTCCTACCCAGATTTTACGTGGGTTTACGACCCAAAACCTATAGGGTACTTCCGGTTCACCAAGATTTGTCAATTTTGATTAAAAGCAAGGTCTTACAGCACAAGTAAAGAGAAAATTCTGAAAAAAAAAAAAGTTAAAAATTAAGGTAAATTTTGGTACTTACAAGTTTTCGCGAAAATCGAAATTTGCCCATATCCTTTTATCGTGTTGACTCAGGACCTTGATTTTTATACACCTAATAGGGACCATAGACCTTAGTATCTGGTATAAATTTCAACTTACTAGGTCAACCCGTGCCTGAGAAAATCGGTGGTGACACACGGACAGACTGACAGACGGACAAGAAAGTGATCTGATAAGGGTTCCTTTTTTACCTTTTGAGGTACGGAACCCTAAAAATACTAGACGAGTGTAGGGTGACATACCCGCTATCATATTTTGACCTTAAAATATTGCAAATGTCATACGTCCGTTCGTGAAACATAAATGACCAAAATAATGTATGTATATCAGACTTTCCTAATTACCGTCGTATTTATAATTACTGCTCCGCTCTCTTATTAGAAGAGAGTAATGTGAAACAGTCATTTAGTGTTTAATAACCAAGCTATCTGACAAAAAAGTATTAAAATCCGACTTGAAAACTCAGTGATGACCATTCTAGTAGACGCTTCAGCTTGATAAATTATTATCATAATAATTATAGATACAGTTATAGACAAGGTGGCTGATAAAATGATGTATCGGTGTATGTTACTTAAATAGTTTTGATATATTGCGATGTAATCACCGTTATATAACACAAATATATAGTTTTATTTGTGTACGATAACGCTTGTAAACGGATAAAATATATAGTTGTAGCAGTTGTGATTGAAAAAACCGGTATTTGTTAACTGAATAATTAGTTATCAGTTTATGACCAACAATTAAGATCGTATTTGAAATACACTTACGTACTTTGTTATATTACAAAAATTGAAAGGAATTCCAAATGTTATTTAATTGTTTAATACAATTATAACGAATAATCCACAACCCAATATGATTAATTAAAATGGCTACTGTAACTTACTGTTATTTTTAAAGAACGTTGTTCTTAATTTGTAGCGAATTTCTCCGTAACTCCGACTGTAGGAGAACTTCACAAATAATGTTTCCGCTGTGGTGATAAATTTCAGGAAACAGACTAATTGTATAGTAACTGACGTCGTAAAACCTGACTAATAGGTACACGGTATCCGATCTTCAGGCCTTCCGACCGGAATAACATCTTACTGAGATCACCAATTCCAAGAAATCATGTTGATCATTCGTTATAACGGCACTGATACTAAATTGATGACTAAGTCATACTAATATGTACTTAATTTAAACAGATTAACTCGGCTAAGCAAAAAAGATAAAAAACTCTGTTTTGTTAATTTTTTTATTTAGATTGGCTTCACCTACAAACCATAGCCTCATTGGTACCAAAAACCAGTTATTCTCAATATCTGTAACAGTTTATTGATGATGAAAACAAGTTACTTTTTCAAGCATAAGGTATTTATAACTCTACTACGCTGGACGTATACATTTATATTATCTGTTTAACCTGTTTTTTAATCAAGTACAGTTACAACTTTCGATGATTCTTTTAATAGATGCTTCTTTTGTATTGTATTGACTGTTTTGGATTAAAACCTAAATGCGGAATGTGTTTTTTTTAAATATTGTATTTAATAAATGTTTTTGTTAAAAGCCCAAAAATTGTTAAAATAACATACGTAAATCTTTTTCTTAAAAACACCTAAACACAAATAAATACTCAGTAATACAATTCTTGTTTCAAATTAAAATATGTCATCTATATATTTCAAGTGCAAGAAGATTAGAATGTACTTCTTAATAATAAAAGCTGTTTAGTGCCCCTTGGTTAGGTTCTGGCCACTTCAGCCTACTGCAGTGTCAATCCCCTTATCTAGGCGTCAGGTTCATAAAGAAACCAGCCAATACCCTTCGCTACTCACAAACAAAATTTCCAAAAAAATGCTGTGATGAATATAGAATTAAACGAAAAACGTCATAAATGAAAAATCTTGGTCCTAGAAAACAGTTCCATCGATATAAATACCACACTGTGATACCGTAAATAACGTGACATGAACCGATTTCAGTTATTGAAAGCGTGTTATTCATAAACGTTTTGCATTTATTAAGACACGATATAAAAGAGTATGAAGACCTGTAGCGTGTAATCGCTACATATTGCTAAATGTGAATGTATGAATTGAACTGTAATCATCCTCAATATAACGTAGAATCTTCAAATGAAATACCGTTATTAGATTTTATACTTGATCTGAATTCCTCGTAACACACTTAACAAGTTATCTCTTATAGATGAACACTTAAACGCTACTCGATTATAAAGTCTCGATCTATCGATAGTTAAGTTAGTTAGCGAAAGTGAACTTAGTTTAAAATGATAGTCTAATACTTATCTTTAGTTCTATAGTTTACTAAAGTAAGATTCTTTGAAGAATTTGTAAGTATAGAAAATGTTATTGATAGGATTAATGGAATCGACTCGGAACAGAGTCGACTTGGAACTTATAATTGGTCATTTTAATAACCGAATTATGATTAAAATTATTGATTTTGATGAATGATTTTTTTTTAATCACAAAATGAAAAAAAAATTAAATCACAAAATGTTTTTTTTAAATTACAAAATGAAACATTTTGTGATTTAAAAAAAATCATAAAAATAGAAAAGAGAAAGAAATGAAAAAAAAATAAAAAAAATTGAAAGAAATGGCAACCGAAGCACAAATAGATTTACTAATTCTTGCGTAATACTCTTGCTGTTATCCTTAAAGCTAAACCGATCAATGTTGACCTCCATT